TTACCACATGAAATATACATTTTCCTACACACAAAGAGAAGGATACATGCACAATAGTATAGTAGTACATGCACAATATATATTGTGCATGTACTACTCTACTAAATGAAGAATAAATGACACTTACCTTTATTGAAGATGCAGCAATGACTGATGAGACACTGTGTCCTGGGAGTGCCTTTTCCTCCTGAGTACTGTAGGTCCTGTTTGGCATTTTCTTCCAGAACAGGCCTTATCACACTGTGTATGCCACTACGATTCTTAAATCTCTCAAAACAACCTTTGCTGGCTTTAAATTCACCAATATGAGCACTAGTTCCAGGCATTTTTCCCTGTTCACCTGGGTGTTAGTCGACTGGTGTGGGTTGCATCCTGGGAGACAAGATTAAGGACCCCAGTGGAAATAAGTTAGACAGTCTTCGATGACACTGACTTTTTTGGGTTATCCTGGGTGGCAAATCCTCTGGGGTTAATTGTTTCTTGGTATTCTCAATAAGCCACACCAACAACGGTGCTACAGCAGCAGCAGCAGCAGCTGACAGTGCTACAGCAGCAGCAGCAGCTGACAGTGCTACAGCAGCAGCAGACGGTACTACAGCAGCAGCTGACGGTGGTACAGCAGCAGCAGCAGCTGACAGTGCTACAGCAGCAGCAGACAATGCTACAGCAGCAGCAGACGGTACTACAGCAGCAGCAGACGGTACTACAGCAGCAGCTGACGGTGGTACAGCAGCAGCAGCAGCTGACGGTGGTACAGCAGCAGCAGCAGCTGACAGTGCTACAGCAGCAGCAGCAGACGATGCTACAGCAGCAGCAGACAGTACTACAGCAGCAGCAGCAGCAGCAGCAGCTGACGGTGGTACAACAGCAGCAGCAGCTGACGGGGGTACAACAGCAGCAGCAGCTGACGGTGCTACAGCAGCAGCAGTAGCTGAGTGCAGCAGCAGCAGCAGCTGACGGTGGTACAGCTGCTCAGCAGCAGCTGTACCACCAATAGTAGCGATGGTTGGTTGGGGTTTATTATACAACCTGGCCAGCTCGGAGACACGCACTCCACTTTCATACTTATCAATTATCTTTTTCTTCATTTCTATAGTAATTCTCACCCTTATTGCTGTAGGGTTGGCACTAGAAGCTTTCTTGGGGCCCATGGTCACTTATTTTGCAGATAAAATCACCAAAAACACTGTAATAATACGAAATGTTCCGATTGTATGCTTGGATGTTACCGCGGAGGCTGGCTGGTAAACAATGCCACCGGCGGCACATGTGAGGCTGGCTAAGGGCGCACATTGGACGCGTCTCGGACGAAGAGCGGTGAGCAGGTTTTTGAGTGGTATGCGAGGCAAAATTTTTGCGATAAAAGCGAGCAGTATGCGGATTGTACGTTATGTGATGGCGACGGTATGCGGGGGTCCACTGTATTTATATGCATTTATAAGTGGGAAAAAAAAAGATTTCCACTTTATGGCGGTAGCCTGGAACCTAACCTGCCGTATAAGTGGGGCCCTACTGTATTACTTTGCTTTCCATTTTGAATTTTTATTCACACAAAAAGTAGAAGATTTACTGCTATGCAGACTACTGCATTATTGTAAAAATGGTATACATTATATCAGCGCACTTGTGAAAGAACATTAGACTCACCAGTTGACGCGTATTGGACGCATGGCGTGATTTGTTTACTCTTGAACATGGGCAAAAATTGAACATTTCCACTAATTTGAACCCAATTTCAAGGTACTTTTCATCATGAAACCAATCAAAATCATCTCTATTTCTGTAATAGTGGAACCTTGGTTTTCATTTGCCCTGGTTTTTGACAACATTTTTCATCAAAATGTTTTCCCAGTTTTCGTTCATCACCTTGGTTTTCATCCTCCATACTGAACGTGTCCGTGCACCTGCACCCACACTAAGCATCCCACACACGTATTCTGAGTCAGTCTGCCTTTGTTTCTTGTTGAGTGAACATTACCCTGCGTGTTCATACGAAATATTTCGTAATAATCGATTGGTTTTTGTGCTTGTTTATGGAGTGCGACTGCTAAATAAGCCACCATGGGACCAAAGAAAGTTTCGAGTGCCAGCCCTATGATAGAGAAGGTGAGAAACCTGATAGAATTCAAGAAAGAACTCGTAGAAAAGTATGAAAGTGGCATACGTGTGGTCAGTCTCGCCAGGATGTACAGGAAGTCCTCGTCAATGATCATTTCCATCCTGGCGAAGAAAAAAGAAATCAAGGAATCTGATGTTGCGAAAGGGGTAAGTTTGCTAACGAAACAAAGGTAAGATAAGATAAGAGAAGATTTCATTCGGATTTTTAACCCCGGGGGGTTAGCCACCCAGGATAACCCAAGAAAGTCAGTGCGTCATCGAGGACTGTCTAACTTATTTCCATTGGGGTCCTTAATCTTGTCCCCCAGGATGCGACCCACACCAGTCGACTAACACCCAGGTACCTATTTGCTGCTAGGTGAACAGGACAACAGGTGTAAGGAAACGTGTCGAAATGTTTCCACCCGCCGGGAATCGAACCCGGGCCCTCCGTGTGTGAAGCGGGAGCTTTAGCCACCAGGCCACCGGGCCACACAAATCACAAACAGTCGAAGATGTTGAGAAGTTCTTGTTGGTGTGGATCAACAAAAAACAGTTAGCAGGAGATAGTGTTGTATAGGCGATAATTTTCGAGAAGGCAAGGCAGTTGCATGGGGATCTCGTAAAGAATATGCCTGGAACGAGTGCTGCTGTTAGTGAAATTAAGGCCAGCAGAGGCTGGTTCGATAACTTCAAGAAGCGATCTGGCATACACAGTGTGTTTAGGTATGGCAAGGCTGCAAGTTCTGACAAATGTGCGGCTGAAGAATTCATTGATGAATTCAAGGAGTATGTAGAGGCTGAAGGATTCCTCCCCCAAGTCTTCAGTTGTGACGAAACAGGCCTCTTTTGGAAGAAAATGTCAGAGCACTTACATCATGCAGAAGGAAAAGGCACTACCAGGACACAAGCCTATGAAGGTTAGGCTAACTCTTTTGTTCTTTGGTAATGCTAGTGGGGATTTCAAAACGAAGCCTTTACTGGTGTATCACTGAAAATCCCCAAGTGTTCAAGAATAACAAGGTCATCAGGAGTAAATTGTTTGTGATGTAGAAGGCTAACAATGAAGCATGAGTCACAAAGCAAATTTTCATTGAGTGGGTCAATGAAGTGTTTGGCCTGAGTGTGAAGAAGTTCCTCCTGGAAAATAAATTGCCACTCAAGTGCCTCGTGATAATGGACAGTGCTCCTGCTCATCCTCCAGACTTGGAAGACCAATTGTTGAAGGAGTTTAGTTTCATCACAGTGAAGTTCTTGCCCCCTAATACCAATCCTCTCATCCAGCCTATGGACCAGCAGGTCATTTCAAACTTCAAAAAACTCTACACCAAAGCAATGTTTCAAAGGTGCTTTGAAGTGACCTCGGACGCTGAATTGACCTGAAGAGTTCTGGAGAAATCACTTCAATATGTTCAACTGCATAAGCCTTATAGATAAGGCTTGGCAAGAAGTGACTTCCAGGACTTTGATTCTGCTTGTAGAAAATTGTGGCCAGAATGTGTCCAAGAGAAGGATTTTGAAGGGTTTGAGGCTGACCCTGACGACCCTACACCTGTTGTGGAATCTATTGTGGATTTGGGGAAGTCCGTGGGGTTGAATGTGAGTGGCCAGGATGTGGAAGAGTTAGTGGATGACCACAGGGAAGAGCTAACCACTGAAGAGCTGCAACACCTTCAACTGGAACAGCAACAGATTGCAGCTGAGGAAATTGCTTCAGAGGAGGAGGAAGCAAGAGGGAAGAATGTGCCTCTTCAGTGATTAAGGACATTTGTGCAATATGGAGTGAGGTACAAAGTCTTGTGGAGAAATGTCACCCTAACAAAGTTTTTGCAAGCCGTGTCTGCAACATGTTCAATGACAATGCCATGTCCCATTTTAGGCAAATCTCAGAGACTCCAGAAACAGACCTCTCTGGACAGGTTTTTTGTGCAACAGGGGTACAGTGACTCTCAAGCTGGTCTTAGTGCCAGTAAAAGACAAAGAAGGGAAGTAACCCAAGGTAGGGATTTGATACCTAAAATCCTTATGGAAAGGGATTCCCCTTCCAAACTATACTCTCTCCTCCCTCTCCCCTCCTTGCTGTCTTCTATATGCCAAAGAGAGTCTTCAGTAAAGGTAAAACTGATGTAAATGTTCATTTATCCTTTAAAATTAGCGCTTTATATTTCTCATTGTTTTCTGTGTGTAAAACGGAAAAAAAAGGAAACCGAGGTTCCACTGTATATCTTCCATTCTATCAAATGAGACCAAGAAAGTCAGAATACAACCATAAATACCATACGAAAATACACTGCAGAGTTTTTTAGACCAAAAACATGGTCTATTTTTTTTGCATGCACTGCGTGCTGCAGGATTTTTTTTATACTGCGCACACTGACCACGCAGACCCATTCTTTCATATGTAGGCCTACCAGCTTCGATTTGAAGGCACTAGAATTTTGGCGTATAAGTACGGCAATGACCCTGGCTCTCGAGCTGTACATGTATGGCACCGACCCTGAAAAGGATTAATTTTGCATAATAATGGCCCCTGTGTTTGAAAGTAGAAAAGCTGGCACTTCTCCAAAGTCTAAGAGAAACCATTAAGTGCTTCCCATCAGTGAAAAAAGTGATAATTCTCCACATGTTGTGCATAATTTATCAGTTAAACTTCATACCAGCTATGTGTAAGACTTATACACATGTATAGGGTTTGCTACTATCCACGGTTTTGGTATCCATGACAGGTCCTTGGAACATATCCCCTGCGAATATGGGGGTCCTATTGTACCCTATTTTGAATGATATTCCATCATATGCTGTACTTTGAGTGATACTCCATTATATACTGTATTTGGAATGATACTTTTCATATTGTGTATCTAATATTAACTTATGGAAAACAAAACTTTTTTTAATTTCAGACCCAGCAAAACGATTGGGGCGCCCTCGAAAGAAAGTCGACTCGTATGATGAGGCAAGACCTGGAGCATCAAAAAGAGCACGAGTGGAAAATGAAGATAGTTCCATTAGTAGAAAAGAAAAATCGTTGGTTTCTACCATAGTGGTTGTAGATGATGGTATGTCAGAAGGCTTACACATGACTACTAGCCAAGTTCATGCATTAGGTGCTTTAGTGGCATGCCGAGAGTGTGGAGAAGCTGTGAGAATAGGGGTTAGGCCAACGACAAAAGGCATGATATCAGAATTCACTGTATCATGTACTGTATGTGAGGATAACAAATCTACAAATACTCCTAATTTAATCCGTGAAAGGAAGAGAAAACGTGAAAAAAAGGATGCAATGCTTCAGAAGACAGAAAACATTAATTATGCTCATGTTGCTGCATTTTTAGATAATGGTCTTGGCTACAGTGGGTTGCGTCACTATTGTAAGTATTTCAATGCTAGATGTTTAAACGAGGCAACCTTTATTGTGTATGCACGACAAGTGATTAGTGATGTTGTGGCTGACACGGAGGATAGCTTGTTGTATGGTACTGGGATTGTTAGAGAAGTGTTCAAGAGCCAGTTAGAGACTGATGGGCTTATTGATCTTACAGTTTCCTTTACAACCACTTATCATCAGTGGGGTAGTGATTTCTGCCTTGTTGCTGGTGCTGTGATAGAATTAACAACAGGCCTTGTCCTAGACTATGATGTTGCTAACATGTATTGTCATGTTTGCAAAATAAATGCCAAAAAAATTGTCTCCATGACACCAGCAGAAATGACAGACTGGTTTAACAAGCACCAGGACACATGTGAAATCAGAGAGTGGTGTGATGAGTTAGATCATGATGCTGAGGAAGGAATCAGAGAGATAGAACCAAAGTATTTGGAATGCTTCATAGCCAAAAAGATATGGTCACGTTCTGTTGAAAAGTATGGCTTCAGATATACTACTCTTATACATGAAAGTGATGATAAAATACATGAAGAACTATCTAGGGCAAATGTCTATGAGGATATTCCAATTCTTATTGATAGCAATACTTCTTGTTTCAGCAGAAGAAAGAGTGAACATGCACGAACATCTTTTCAAACAAAATTAAAAGCAAAGTGTCCACGTGAAAGAGTGCAGACCAAAGACAGAATCATGTATGTTTATGCTATGTCCATTCCTGAATACAACAAATTTGCCATTTCCTCAAATATTAAGCTAAGGCAGTTAGTAAAAGAACTAGAGGCTGGTTCAGAGGAACCTTCTATGATACTAGGTCAGCCAGTTGAAGACATGGAAGTTCTGCATTTAGATGATGTGAAGGATATAAAACTTTCAGAGGCAAATGGACAGCGGGAAACTAACGAAAACACAGGAAATGAGGAAGAGGAAGGAGATGAACCAGATGATGCAGAACAAGATTATGACCAAGATGCTGATGATCCAGAGGTGGCAGTGGGTGAAGAAGTGGGTGAAGAATTTGAAAGACAGTTAGAGGAAGAAGAGCTGGAAGTTGAGAGGACAGAAGTAGTACTGGAAGAAAGTATAGAAATGCAGGAAGCATCCAAAAAAAATACAGAAAAAAACACTATTAATAATAGCACAGTCACGGATGAAAAGGATAAAAAGTCAGTAGATAGTAATTTAAAAGAAGAACAGTGATAAATACCAAATGTTATTGTTGGGCATGCCTTTCCTTATTTTCTGTATTAATCAAGGGGAAGTGCTTAATCCATAGGGGTCATATAGTACCTGGGGAATGGGAGGCTATCAAGCTAGATCCAAGGAAGGGGAGGATAGTACCAGTTTCTTGGATCAAGAACCCCTTGCTGGCATCAAGAGAACTCCCTTGAGGGGCCTTTATTCTTTAGAGGTCAAGGGTAGGTACAATAATGAATTTTATATATGAAGGCGCTCATTCGGTATAAAGTTTGAGCATGGGTGCAGTCAAAGTATGAATTTCTATAATGTTAATTTATGAAATTTAATGCCATTTTGAACAGTGTTATTGCTGTGGGTTGTGTTACAAATTTATACTATTTAGTAAATTCTGTATTAGTTGTAAATTGGAAGTTTATATGTTTTATGCCTATATCTTTTCTTCAGTTGGTGTTTTCTAATTACTGTATATCAGCTGGCTGTGTGATATCCAGTATACAAACACATTCCTAACTTTTATCTTAGCATTGGTTGACTTTTTTATACTTTTAATAGTGAAAATTGAGAATAGTAACTGAAATCAGACAACCATCACAATTTTAATGGGTTTTGCTTGCTATAAACGGTGGTTCATACACCAGTAAAATTCTTTCCTCCCTCTCTGATCCTTTTCCTCTGGCAGTATACTGTATATTAAGTTTTATTGTATACATTAATTGTATATCTGGTGTTGCTTGTATTAAAAAAGTTAATTTGAAGTACGTACTGTTCTTTTGACTTCTTTCTTTGAAAATGATAATTTTATCTACTGTATCTTTAATTTGGTATTTAACCCTTAAACTGTCCAAATGTAGATCTACGTTTGCACCGCTAGCTCTCCGAACATAGATCTACATATTTTTACGTTTGAAAGTGTGTAAAAAAAATGTAGATCTACATTTGGAGCGCTAGCAGTGCGAATGTAGATCTACGTTTGGACAGTTTAAGGCTTAAGGAGCAGGTGGCAGTGAAGGTTATGGAGTGTCAATACTTTGTATAACTGATATGTGCAGAGATTTATATGCAGTACTAATTGTTATGTAGTTAACATTTACTCCATGATTCACAGGTGGTGTATTTGCATCACATATTATATAATCACTACTTGTACAACAGCAAATATCTTTTAGGGAATAAAGTTTCATATGAATATTAGTTTTCATTGTATGTATTGCCTAACATTTTAAAGCATATGGTTGATAATAGTAGTTATTTATCTGATGTTGCTTTGTACTTCAGCATTTCATGTATGTATTATACACAAATAACCCTCGTATATATACTGGCTCTCTTCCCTTTGCGCTTTTGTACGACTAGTTAATGGCCCAAGGCAGACCAAAATGGCATAATAAGTTTTCTATGCAGGTTATCTGTGTATTGATCCAGTCACAGTATTGTGCCTTTTATTCTTTGTGTGTATACTAGTTTGGCTGAGAAATTATCTGCATGTAGAACTAGTGCTTCACATGCAATTCTAGCAGGACTCCCATATCTGTGGGTCCAGTATCCACAGTTTAGCATGGCCTGAAAATAACCTCTAATTTTGCTTAACCCTTTCAGGGTCGCCAGGCCCTCTCCGAGACTTGTTCTCAGGGTCGCCAAATTTAAAAAAAAAAAAAAAATATGAAAAGATAGAGAATCTTTTCCCGATCATAATGACACCAAAAGTATGAAAGTTGATGGAAAACTTAGGGAATTATGCTCTTGCGAAGTTAGTGGTTTAGTTGATGTTTACGCATTGGCGATTTTGCCCACTTTGAGCCCTATTTTTGGCCAATTCAATTGTACTAGTCGACAAAAGCTGTATAGCCCTTGTGGCTTAGCGCTTCTTTTTGATTAAATAATAATAATAATAGTCGACAAAAATCATAATTATTTTGCTAGAACTCCATTTTTTCTATCGAATGAGTACAAGAAACCACCCATTTACCGATTTCAACTATCCAATACAGTGGTCAGAATTTAGCAATTTTGCCAATTTCACAAAAATTTCAAAAGATGCCAATTTCCAAATAGGGTCCAGAATAAACAAAGACATTCCTGGCAATAAAATAACATTTCCTCTGTTCATTAGTCAAATCCCCACGCCCCTCTTACATTCTTTTGCTTTCCACGTTGAATTTTTATTCTCGCAAAAAATAGAAGATTTACTGTTATGCAGACTACTGCATTAGTGTAGAAATGGCATAAATAATATTGGCGCACTTGTGAAAGAATATTAGACTCACCAGTTGATGTGTATTGGACGCTTAGTATGATTTGTTTGCTTTTGAACTTTGGTAAAAATCGAACATTTCTGCTACTTTGAGCTCAATTTCAAGGTACTTTTCATTGTAAAACCAGTCAAATCATCTCAATTTCTGTAATATGTCTTCCATTCTATAAAATGAGACCAGGAAAACTAGAATACAACAATAAATACCATACAAAAATACAGTACAAAGTCGCTGTTTTAATCCAAAAACACGGTCAAAGTTTTTTTTTTTCTCATTGCACACTGTGTGCTGCAAGATTTTTTTTATACTGTGCACACTGACCACATAGACCCATTCTTTCATATGTAGGCCTACCAGCTTTCTCACTAGATTTGAGGGCGCTAGAATTTAGGCGTACTAGTACATCAAAAACCCTGGTGCGTAAGCCATACTAGTACGGCCAAAACCCTGGAAGAGCTAATAATGTCCTCAGAGTGCAAAAGTAGTGATGAAGTTCTTCAAAGTCTAAGATAAGCAGTGAAAAAGTGATAATTCTCTGCTTATTGTGCATAATTTATCAATTAAACTTTATAATAGGTATGGTCCTTGGAATGCATTCCCCACGGATACTGGGGTCCTATTGTAAAAGGTACTGTTTCCTGTTGAAGAGATAGGTAGATTACAGTAGAGCGTCTTTTAGCATGAGTTTATTTGGCACGATTTGGGTATAGCAGGACTGAAGAAATGCTGCACGATTTTACGTAACAAGTAAAATTAATTTAACGTGGTTCAGTTTGCGGGAAGGGGGGAAAAAAAAAAAAGTGGCTGCCTTGTTGTGGATCAGCTGGGGAGACCTCCTGCCATCCCCTGCCACCCCCTGACACCATCCCAGCATTCGTACTTCATACGTGTCCAGTTCAGTCCTCTGCTACAAGCTAGCTGTGTTTGTGAATTGTGTTTTGATCTTTAAATCACTATCTCTTAGATCTGCCAAGCAATCATGACACCCAGTAGGCATACCAGTGTTGTTGAAAGTGGCAAGAAAAGGTATAAGCATTTAAATTTATTTATTTATTTTATTTCCAATTTGAGCACACATACAGAGGTACAAAAAAAATACAGATAAGAGCAGCATGCCAAAGCCACTTATACTATGCATAGCATTACGGGCTGGCTTAAAATTAACTTAAGATTAACTAAGCAATGATGAAATCAGTGATAATACATTAATGTAAACAGATTACTATAAAGCACAAGTGAGTATTACAAAGACAGGTCATATGGTTGCATTCAGTTAGGTAGTGATTTTGTTAGGTAGTGTATTTAAAAAATAATAAAGTTAGATTCGGTTTTAGGTTTAACATTTATGTGATATAATTGTGAGAAACATTTAAGATATACAATTTATAAGGTTCAGTTATTCAGTATTTATTTGGTTTTGGGTGAGTAAGTGATCTTTGAGAAGAGACTTGAATTTATAAACAGGTAGTGTTTCTTTTATATTTACAGGTAATGAATTCCAGATTTTAGGGCCTTTTATGTGCATTGAGTTTTTGCATAGTGTGAGATGGACACGAGGAACATCAAAGAGTGATCTGTGCCTTGTGTTATGGTCATGTGTTCTGTTGAGGTTGGCAAGGAGATGTTTGAGGGGAGGGTTAATATCAGAGTTAAGTGTTCTATGTGTGTAATAGGTGCAGTAATATGTATGGATGTTTTGTATGGTGAGTAGGTTTAGTGTATTGACTATTGGTGGAGTGTGCTGCCTGTAGTGAGAATTTGTTACCATTCTAACTGCAGCCTTTTGTTGAGTAATTAGTGGTCTGAGATGGTTAATTGTTGTTGAGCCCCATGCACAAATTCCATAGGCGAGATAGGGGTAAATAAGAGAGTGCTATAGGGCCAGGAGGGCTGTCTGTGGAACATAGTACCGTATCTTCGATAGTATGCCTACAGTCTTGGAAATTTTCTTAGAAATTTGTTGTATATGTGTATGAAATTTGAGTCTATTATCAAGGTGGATTCCTAAGAATTTTCCCTCTGTTAGTTTTGTGATAGGTGATCCGTTTATCATTATGTTAAGAGGGACATCTGTAGCTCTGTTTCCAAACTGAATGAAGTAGGTTTTGTCAATGTTTAGTGTAAGTTTGTTAGTCCTCATCCAGGTAGATATTTTCTGTAATTCGGTATTTACAGTATTGGCTAGCGTGACTGGGCTCGGGTGAGAGAAGACGTATGTAGTGTCATCTGCAAAAAGTGTGGGTTTGAGTAATTGCGAAGCATTTGGAAGGTCATTTATGTACAGGAGAAAGAGAAGAGGGCCAAGGACACTTCCCTGTGGGACACCAACTGTAATTGGTTGCGCAGAAGGGGTTTGCCCATTTGCGTACACATATTGCTTTGTTGCTGAGGTATGACTTTAGGTAGTTGAGGGAGTGCCCTCTTTATACCATAGTGTGACAATTTTACGTGGAGCAAGTCATGGTCAACTGTATCAAAAGCTTTACGTAAGTCAATGAAGATCCCCAGTGGGACTTCTTTTTTCTCTATTGCAGTGTATATATGTTCTAGCATGTGTATATAGCATCATTAGTATTTTTATTAGGCCTGAATCCAAATTGGCAGGGGTTGAGTATGTTTTGGGAGATAAGGTAGGAGTAGATTCGTTTATGAATTAAATTTTTTAAAGATTTTTGAGAGAGGGTGTAAGTTGGATATTGGCCTATAGTTATTCAACTCTGTTTGGTCTCCTCCTTTGTGGATCGGGGTGACCCTTGCTATTTTGATACTGTGGGAAAGGTGGAGGATTAAATGGATTGAAAAGAGTGTTTGAAATGATTGGTGAAGCACTTGGAACTTTTTTGATAAAAAGGGTGGAAAGGGTATTTAAATTCCGCCTTTTTTTTTAGTGCTTTGATAATAAGGGAATTTCGATTTATTATCCCTTGTACCTGTGTACTGTCTACCCTTTCTTCATATTTAACCAAGCATTCCATTGTTATTTTTTACTTTTATTTTTTGGTACTTTAATTGTGAATTTTATTTTTCATTTTAAATTAGTTTTAATCTTGATTTGTCAAAAACCCTATACCAACTCTAGTGAAATTTGAATTCCATTTCAAATTGTTTTTTTATTTTAAAAATTTTAATTATAACCCTACCATCTGCCCTTTTAACTTTGCTTCCATTATTTAATTTTTAGTCCCTTATATATTTTTCCTTTTTTTTTTTAGTTTATATAATACCCAAATTATATTTTCAAAATTGAAAAAATAATCAAGGTGCTATTCTTGGGTGTAAAGTAAAATAAGTTCCAATTTTGCCATTATATTCCAAAGTCATTTTTTTAAATTACCACTTTTTGTTCACCAAAACCCTATATTAGCCCTTTTATAATAATTTTTACTATAATTCTAACTTAAAAAATTACCTTTTTTTTCCCCTACTACCATTTTCCCCCAAGCTCCACATTTGCATATTTTTTTTGTATTAGCCCCTTTTGCCATTATTTTACATTTGTTAAATAATCCAGGTGTATTTTTTTAGCTTTAAGACTTTTTTACTTTGTTTTTATATTTAAAATTCAACTATAGATTCACTACAAATCTTATGATTACAAGCATTGATCCGATCCCAAACTCTTATTTAATGACTAATGAATAAACAGTTACTGTAATTACTACACTGCGAACAATAAAAGGCATTCTCCCCCAACAACAACATAACTATTTTAAAATACAATTCAGATCTTTAAGCAGCTTCATGACCTCATGCATTATAAATTCCTTACATGCCAAATGTCCTCATTTTCCTAATGAAAATGGCTAAACCTATAGTACAGATGTCATGCCATTCCTGGTTACCAGCCCTAAAACTGTGGCCAGACCAAAAAGGGGGTGGCACAGCCATATACTATCAACCAAATACAATGTATCACTAATACTTGCACAAGGGT